GATGCAGATCGAGACAAAGTCGCTTCTGATGAGACACAACTTCGGTTGATCTTCGCCGTCGGCGTGTGATTGCGCGCGGGCCTATCAGTATCGCACGAGATGGTGCGGAAGTCGGGCTATTGAAGATTGCTCCATCTGATGCGCCGACGCTAAGACAGGCAGGAAAGAATGGGACGGATTTATGTCTTTGTCAGTCCCATTCATGTGGTGAAGGCGCACTACGGACACTTACAAGGGCTCGGATGGTCGGCAGTTGGCCTTCGACCTGGTAGTCCCAAATGACCTCCATCTGGTCGGGTTGCTCCGGTTGGTTTGACCAAACCCTGAAGTTCGGTGCAACATCGGCAACAGGCTCTACCAGCTGCACCAATTTGACAGATACTCTTTGGGAAGCATGGAGTCCATCGCTCGGTAAGCCAGGTCGCACCGCAAGCCTCATGCCGGACATGAGTTCCATCTGCAGGAAACCTGCAGTGGTTCTCCAACGTCGATTGCTGAACTACAGTGGTGATACGGAAGGGATTAGAGATGGGGTCAGAATACTGGTCAAGGGAAAGGGGACATGACGGCGCATGCTCAAAGCTGACTTACTTCGAAGATGATGTCTGGACTACCGAGGCCAACCTGACTGGCTGGCGAAAGCCTGGAAGCAGCTTGAGTTTGTGATGGCGCCTGCGCTTCCAACGGCATGACTGACGAAGAAGGCATAGGTTGCGGCGATGTAGCCAGCTGGGTCGCAAAAGAGACAGATGCCACTGATGACGAGGATGGCAAGGTTGTAGACATACGCGATGCCGCAGCGGAAGTCGGCGAGATCGTCCCGGAGCCAGATGCAGAGGATGCTGGGGCTGAGGGTGCAGTCACAGCGAGCGACGTCGCAACACTGGCTTCGCTGTCGTTTTCGAACGACATCATGGTGGAAGAATGCATCGGCGTGCGCTTGTGGTGGTGGAGAGAAGCAGGCGCAGGTCGGATGGATTGTATCGACTGGTCATAATTACATAACCTCAACGCGCGCGCGCGTCGGTGCTGCCGCCCCGTTCCACATCATGCGCAGTTGTCCCGCGCGCCTCGACGCGTCAGGGTCTGACAGCTTACGAATGGAGGACTAAGAAGGAATTCCAAGCTAGACTGCGTGTGGCAAGAAGGCATGCGTTCCTCGGACAACTCGAGCTTTTCAGGCCGTCGCAGGCTGTCCGCGTTTCGAAGGCCGGAGCTGCATCTCAGACTCTGAGGGAAATATGCAACCGCTTCGAGATGTTAGACTCCGATCCGTCGAAGATTCCAATTAACGAATCTCGTAGGACCGTGCTTTCCGCCCAGTGACAGTCCGTGCGTATGGTGGTACGGGGCTAGCCGCCCCGTTCTTGCCGGAAGAAATGTACGAGAATTAAAACGTCACTGTGGGGAGGCCTGTCTCCCGTAAGAACGACAGCAACAGCTCATAGTCGTCACGAGCGCTTCGACAGGTCAGCGGTCACTGGTCAGGGTGCGGTTGCAAGCTGCGCGACGTAATATCCAAGCCTTCTACTGCCTCGGCCGCCCAAGGGCCGGTCCTCCAATATATCAAGGGCCTGCGATGCTGGCAACCCACTTGTCCGACGCTCTGCACGCATCTCAGCTCACATCGGACGGCGCGACAAAGATCGGCTTGTCCTATCGATGCACGCCTTCTTGGCATTTATCTGAGTCGAAATAGTTCCGAGATCCGTAGTAAGCTTCGCAAACACCGAGGAGAAGGCTTGTCCAATAGAGCCGTTCATCTGTGTCTCCGACGCTCTTCCATACGCAGCATCATTCAACCGAGGTCACGAGAGGTATTGATGCGTAGGTGGACACGTTCCCTCGGTCGGCCTGGCAGGTACATCAGCAGCTCTGTGGACTTGCATAACTTCCAAGCCGAGCCGTTGCGGCAGCATGAGGCTTCTTGAGCGCAAAGCATACGTAGTACTCTAGCCGTGTCGTCGAAGAGCTTGCGTTAGTTGAGTCATGCACACAGCTCGGGATGCTCTAACGCTATGTGCCTGCACACTTACTGGCAAGATGTGTCGCCCACTCGGCATCTTGTTCCCTGCCCAAAATCTTCGTGTAGATGTGTCTCTTCGAAGGATCTCGACTCGACTCCTTTACGTAGTCGGCGAAAGAGATCAAGCTTGCTTGGAAACCAATCTGCTCGGCGAGTCTGTTGTGAGCGGAAGTTGTGAGCGCTCGTTCGTGGGTCATGCGCTGGTGCTCCCGGGCACTCTCACCTTTCAAGCTCGGTCGGGGAGACGACCGCCTCCGGCAGCTGCTCGTACGCGTCCAGCAGCGTGAAATTGTACCACTGTTCGTCTTCGCGGTGTCGGGGCTCGCGTTCAAAAGCGAAGGGTAGGCTTCGGTCGCTGAGGCTGCCCAGGTCGCGGCTGTAATGTGACGATAGTATGATGATAGGTTTGCTTGGTTGGTCCCAGTCGTTGGCGCGTGATCGAACCAGGTCTGCCCATCGACACTCACATGATCTTCGTTCCGTTCGGGATCGCTCCTAGAAAGACGCCGCCATCCGAGAGGCTGTCCCATGCCCTACAGAGAAGTCGCTGCAGCTTCTCTGGCGTACCGCACGCATTCTGCATCCCCAAGAAACTCCAAAGTATGTCGCAGCGCGGCATCTCGATGTCCTGTCGAGCCAGGTCCAGGTTGAGCATGCTTCTACGGTCGGCGCAAATCGCAAGCACGTACTCACCTCGTGAAATCCCAACAGAAGCGTTACCCTTGGATGATGTCGAAAAGGGCTTTGCGACAGCATGTTAATGCTCATGTCTGCATACAAACACATGTGCGGAGGCTCATCAGCGTGCGCCTTGCTTTGCCTCCGTGACTTCGCCGGATCCTCACCAATGCCAGTGTAGGTAATACCAGGTAAGGCTCTCTCGAAGCGATTGAAGTCAGCAGCTCGGCCGCATCCCATATCCGTAATCTGCATGCCACGAGATTGGCCAGCTCTCTTTCGAAGGTCCGTCAACAAGATGTGATCATGAATGAGCCCTTCCTTGACGAAGTTCGTCAGACATGTGAACGGATAGCTTCGCCGACGCGGTCTGCTCTGGTGATGGAAGGCCCGCTTCCCTTTGTCTTCGTTCAAGAATGTCGAATGCTCTCGATCAGCGATCTAGGGCAACAAGACTTGCGCCCTAGGCTCGACCATGCACCCTGGAACTCACATGCTTGCTGAACGGGAGATGATACAGTCATTTGCGGCAGCACAGTGAGAGGATGGTGAGAGGATGGTGAGAGGATGGCGAGCGAATAGAGACGGGATGGTGAGTGGATGGTGAGAGGACGGAGAGCGGAAGGATACCCTCAATGGGCAAGCTAGAGTCAAGTGGCTGTACGAGGTCCTGTCATCAGAAGCCTAATCCTTGCTGCAGGAAGAGGTCGTCATCTTCGGGGATCGTTTTGAAGAGTTCCGAAGTCAGTCCTCCACATGCATGTTCGATGTGGCCCTTGACCGGGACAAGTTCGGAAGCCGGTACCGGAAGCAATTAGCGAGACAACCGCGTCTGTAAGGCATATTATTTTCCCACCCTATGCCAACTTGCAATTCATGCGAACACAGGTCTTCCGTCGGCGTGAGACCTCACTTGGTGGCGTCGAACAACGCCGTGCTCTTCAGCCATGTCAGACTTAGCTACACCCCTTGGGCTCGTACATGCTTGGATAAATACCCGCTCGAGCTTCCGCTCAATCCTTGTTCGTGAGGAATACTCG